CCTCCAGTGTGATTCTTACTCTTCCTCCAGTGTGACTCTTCCTCCAGTGTGACTCTTACTCTTCCTCCAGTGTGACTCTTCCTCTTCCTCCAGTGTGACTCTTCCTCTTCCTCCAGTGTGACTCTTCCTCTTCCTCCAGTGTGACTCTTACTCTTCCTCCAGTGTGACTAGAACCCAAATGCCCGCTAGATCAGAAAAGTAAAGTAAAATAAAGTAACCCTATCCATATTCACAGTCGTGTTTTTCTATCGTATCCATACGACGTGGGGAACAATGTGCCACCACTTCCAAAGAGGAAATTTACTCGTTAATCCGAACGTACGCTTTGCATAGCAGTCTGTCAAAATGATTTTTTGAGAAATACTGAAAGTTTCAAAGAGATCTTCGTACTAGAAGTATTCTAAAATGTGGAGAATACAACTCCCGGGGGGTCTAAAATGACCCCAGGGCGTACGGATAGGGTTAAGTGGTACCTTTGACTGCTTCTCTCCTAGACAAGGTAAGACAAAAATTGTCTCGTGCTATATTTTTAAAAATTCTCGTCAATCGTGTCTCTTTTTTGTGACCCTCCTATTTCATTATACTTTTCTACATGTTTTCCCTTTTATGTCAGATTTATGTACAGTTGTTTTGAAGCTTAACTCTTTCTACTGTTTGTGGATTCTTTCTACGGTTTGTGTTTGCATGTCTTGATGCTAACATTATACTACTAACAAAATGAAAGCTGTTTTGCGGTGCATGCATACAAACACACAGACAGACTGGCAAACACACACACTTACACTCACTCAAATATGCTCAGTCTTATATACATCTAAAAGCACCACATGTTGTACAGAACAGACAAAAAGTAATTTGAAGAGGTGCCATAGAGGTAATGATGAAAGGATTTTGGGTTGGCAAAGTGTCGCGAATGTTATCTTTAGGGTATATCGTATTATTGCCTGCTGTGCTTAGAATAATACTTTCTGCATGGAAATGTTGTCTTATTTCAATGTGGAAATTCCTCCCCTGACTGAAAAATGGCAAAACTTTTTGTTTTTTGGCATGGTTGCTAAGAAGTTTGGTTCAGTATGTGTGCAGAAACTTTGACCTCGATTTTCTCAAAAGTGAACTTTTACATCTTCCCTGATTCAGTTCTTCATATTTCCAAACTGAGAAACG